TTCTCTGAGACAAATATCCTCCCACTAGCAGCTGGTTAAGGACCAGGCTGGTGAAAATTTCAAACCTGTCAGCTCTTTCTCTTGAGAACTACTGTAGCAGCACAGCTAGGGCTAGCTCTTTTGTCAAGACTAGGCTGAAACATGAACTCTTGGACAGAAAAGACTGTATCTCACAGCAGATTGTGATCGCTTTTGCTTTGTCAGCATGGCAAATTGGAAAAAGTACAGGCTTGGATGTCAGACGAGGTTCACCCGGCCGGGGCGCAGCCTGGGGGCGGCCGTGGGGTCCGGACACGGGGACGCCCACTCTACAAAACCCGGCGGCGAGGGCTCCTCCTCGCACGTGCGCTCAGGAGAAAAGGTCCAGACGCTCACGTCTTCCAAAGTCAGGCCTTCCTCCTGCGACTCCGAGACGTTTTTAGGGAAATTCCAGCCTTTCGGCTCTGGCATGTGATGGAGGCGCTCCTTTGCTTTCAAATGGGCCCAGGGGAGGCTCTGAAATGAGCGTCATCATGAGGTCCCCATCCGGCGCCCTGGGCCCACCCTGGGCGTCTCCGCAGGCACTGGCCAGTGTGGCCTCGGATGCCCTTGCAGTTTCCCTCCCGGCTCCCTGGGCAGCTGCCAGCTGCCCTGGATTGTGGTGCAGAGGAGCTCTGAATTCAGCTTCCCGTGCGCACAGCCGGGGTCCTTGGCGCAGGCCTCCTGGACAGAAGGCCTGGGCTGGCCCCCGCCCCGGGTCTTCTGTGAGTCACCTTTTCACTGCGCAGCTCGCCTCCAGTAACCCCTCGGAAGCAGCAGCCAGTGCGGCCCTCCCTCCCGAGCCTTTTTGTTCTTTCTGCTTGAACTAAATTGCATTAAAGAAAAGAAAACATCGTAATGGGGGAGTTAATTCATCTCTAACATAATTTTCCAGCAACTGTTTCATATTTACAAAATGGCCCGTGGAGTGGAAGGATCCTGCTGTCATTCATCAAAGTGGACAGTTTTCACCTTTTTTGTTGGAGGCTGTGGGATGATTCCAAAGAACTCAGTCTCCTGATATCTCAGGAATTACACTGCCCAGCTTCTGAAACCACCGCGCACACTTCTGCGTGCAGATAAAATGTCTGGCGGCTTATGTGACAAACAGGCAACTGAAAATGGGTCTGAGCAGCAGGAGATGTAGGTTTGAGGTTTGGCTTCCG